ATGGAATTCTTTTAACGGTAGCTGTTGAGAGAACATACCAGTCTGTCTGCTTTTTGGCTGGCTATCGCGAATCAACAGAGATCATCATGTGACTACCAGCGGCCATTTCATAGATATTTTCTAGTCACCATCTTCAGAGATGTTATTACACATCTCTGGAGCTGTTGGGACTTGAACTCAAACCTCCAGGCTCAGAAATTGGGATACTACTAAGTCATTTTATATGTTGTGTTGATTATTTAACCAGTCCAATTAGTGGTCTGTATGGGATATGCAGTATTTTGAGTGCTTAGCTGTAACAGCAAAGTTCTTGAAATCATACAACAGTTATATCATTGAAAAAGACCACGTGGTCCATTAAGCCCATCTCACCTGTTGGAAAGAACAATTTAGCTTGTCTCACTCTCCCATTTTCCCCTGGTAGATGTGCAAATGATTTTCTTCAAGTGCATATCCAATTCCCTACTTGAAAGCCACAATCAAATCATCATTTACACATTCAGACAGTGCATTCAATTCAACTCATTGCATAAGAATATTTTCTTTGTGTCATACTTGGATCTTTTGTCAATCACTTTAAGTCTGTGTCCATTAGTTCTCGACCCTTCTGCCAAGGAAAGCAGTTTATCTCTTAGCTACTCTGACTAAACACCTCGTGATTTTTGAACACACCTTTCAAATCCTTTCTTTCAAACATCACTCAGGAAAAGAACCTCCATGTCTCCAACCTAACTGAATCGTAATTGAAGTCTATCATACCCGGAATAAATTTTGTAAATCTTCCCTGCACCTTTTTCTACAGATTTCACATTTTAAAAAGCATTGTACACGTTGCACCTCCTATTTTGTTGATTTAAATCAAATTTCTGTCATCTTCCATTTTCACAGGAACTGTAATCCCTAATGTGCAGTGTAACAGTTAAACAAAGCACATACATATTTCACTGTTGTATACAGAAATTCTACCTTGTACACTTTTAAAACGTTAATAACAAAGACTTGGTCTTATTCCACCATCCAGAGTTTAGTGGCTTTTGATAGCTTATGACAAACTTGTTGTCTAAATGTATGCTGTATGCGCACAATTTCTCAGTAACATTTATTTAGCAAAATGATAGAGAACAAATTTCAGAGACTCGATTCAAGTTGATTAAATATATTCAATATGTAAAATATTAAAGAGTGTTTTAAGCTATGCAAAGGGAGAAATGGGCCCTTGGCAGGGTAAGAGGTAGATTTAAAAACACAAATGGTGTGCAAAGCCTCTTAATTATTATCACTATTTTGATTGATGATTAGAAAAAAAAGGATTTCAGTTGCAGCAACATAACGCTTTATCATGTGCCGTTTTGGTCTCCTTATCGAAAGAAGGATGTAAGTGCAATAGAAGTGGTTCAGAGGAGGTTTACTGGACTGTCACCTGGAATCACAGGTTGACTTATGAGGATAGGTTGGACAGCTTGGACTTGTTTCTGTTGGAGTTTAGAAAAGTAAGAGGTGTCTTCATTGAAGTATATAATATCCTGAAAGATTTTGATAAGCTGGACAGAGAAAGCATGTTTCCTCTCGTGAATGTGCCCAGAACAAAGATCCTTGTTTTAAAATTAGGGGTCATCCTTTCGGTTAGAGGTGAAAATTTTTTTTTGTCCTGTGACCTTGGGATTCTCTGCCACAGAAGGTGGTGAAGAGAGGTATTTGAATACTTTTAAGATAAAAGTCGATAGATTCTTGTTGGGGAAAATGTTGTTGAGAACAAATGAAGATGTAGAATTCAAAACCAATCTGTCATGATCTAATTGAATGGCAGAGCAAACTCGAGACGTGTGGCCTACTTTGTTCCTGTTTAGGATGTCTCTATCATGGATACAAACAGTGTAAATAAAGGAAACCCATTTATAACGGGAGGGTTAGTAACTATCATAGTCAATTAAAACTTGCTTTACAAATTTAAGTCTTTATTCAAGTTTGTAAACCTATTTTAATTGCTAGTCTGTTATGATTCTGTTTGTATCATCTAGCTTTTTGTTGTTGCTGTTTACAAAATCATGCATCTTTAATTTTGATTAAGAAACCTACCCCCCAAGCAGAATGGGGCAATTCATTATATCAACAAATGCACGTGTCCTTAAGGTTCTGAAGTGATTGCTTTATTTTACTGAGATTTCAGTTCCCTCACACTGTAATGTTTGATAATTCCTTTCCAAAATGTGATTGTCACTCACTATTTAAATACAAGGAATAAAGAAAGATGACACTAATCATAAATTTTTTGTTGACTATATTTTTATTTTTTCAACTGTACCTCATGGTGCAACTGTTTCCAAACCACTGAAGAATAATGGGCTTTTTAATGTCATTCTATCAAAATTCCAGTAAAGGAGAGGGAGGAACTTTATACAAATTTATATTTGTTATATTCAGTGAATACTCCTGTTTCTTTAGACAATATTCAAAGACACCTTCTCTGCCTCCAACAAGCATTTGTTTTCACGAAGATCAAGTTAATTTTAGAGAAACGTATAATGTGCTACATGGTATATTGCAGATATTTTTAATTAACCTGTTCAGATAAGGTGGGATTTGTACCTGGGCCTCTAGTTCAGAGATAGAGATACTGCAGTGGCATCCTAAGAATCCTGTATGTTGTGTTGTACACTGATAAACTGTGAATTTGTTCCTCTGGCCTGTTCCCTGTTCTTCATCTACATGAGACCAAAACAGCACACAATTCATGACAGTCTATTAGACACCATCTGCTGGCATGCTAGAGAGTAGCATATCTGATTCCTGTCTGATCTCTTTGCCAGCTGGAATATGAAATGAATCATTATAAAATGCCTTTTTTTTTGTATTATTGTTCATTGTTCATTGTTTGATTGTCGGTTGTATGCTTAATGTTGCTTTCAGTACAGGCTATGGAAATCACTTTTCTATTCTGAATAAAAACAAAGTCCTAATGAACTCAATGCTTTAGTTTAAAATCAAGGACTGAATCCTGGATTCAAAAGTAACAAAAAGGCTGAATTGAAGACAGTGTTCTAAGGAAACCCACACAGCCTCATTCTTAAAGCACCCTCTCAAAGTCCTATTCGTTGTTGTGTTATGCCTGGACTGATTTTATGCGTGTTGCTCAGTACAGATTCCTCTTTTATTTCTACCCTTGAATTACAAACGAAGCTGAAAATCAGGTCTGACGTCTGATTAATCACTGTAATAGAGTTCATTCTGAATTATTTTCTAATTGTCAGTGAGTGAGTCATCCAACAATTATTTGATGAGTATTTACATTGAAGTAAGATAAGAAAGAATATTTCTATTATAGATGAATAGTGTGTCATTAAAGTTTAATTATGATAATTGCTAAAATATTTGGATCAATGTGGCTCATGTGCCTTTCTTTAAAAAAGGTTGTAAGGAGAGGCCTGGGAACTATAGACCCGTGAGTCTGACGTTGGTGGGTAAGTTGTTGGAGGTGATTCTGAAAGATAGTGTTTGGAGAGGCAAGGAAAGATTAGGGATAGTCAGCACGGTTTTGTGCAAGGGAAATTTTATCTCACAAACTTGAATGAGTTTTTTGAAGAAGTAACTAAAAAGATGGATGAGAGTAGAGTGGTAGACATTGTTTTACTTGGACTTTAGTAAAGCTTGTGATAAGGTTCCCAATGGTAGACTAATTAGTAAAGTTAGATCACATGGGATTCAGGGTGAGCTTGCCAATTGGATACAAAATTGGCTTTACAGTAGGAGACAGAAGGTGCTGGTGGAGGATTGTTTTTCAGACTGGAGGCCCATGACCAGCAGTGTTCCAGAGGGGTCAATACTGGGTCCACTTCTGTTTGTCGTTTTATGCAAACGATTTGGATGAGAATATAGGAGGCATGTTTAGTAGTTTTACAGATGACACCAAAATATGTGGTATAGTGGACAATGAAGAGGTTGTCTAGGATTACAAAGTGATCTTTATCAATTGGATCAATGAGCTGAGGAGTGGCAGATGGAGTTTAATTTGGATAAATGTGAGGTGTTATGTTTTTCTGTCTTTCTGATCTCCTAAAAATGATGTGCCCGCGTAGGCCTTCTGATCCAATGACACCAGGTCTGTTCATATCTTTTGAACTCTTTAATCTGTCCAATTCACCTTATCTTCCTCCCAACCCCTTCTCTGTTCGAATGACTTCCTCATGATCACACTCTTTCCCGATGCTCTCCATCTTCCCCTTCCTCTTCTGTCTTTCTGTATCTCCTCCTCCCTCTCCAAACACACACAGATTTGGCAAAGCTAGAGAAATACTTTACGTTTGTATTAATCGCATGCACCTTTACTGAGAATAAGTCACATCAATCTTTTCCCTGTTGGATCTCAGATTAAATTCAGGTGCGTGACTGAGTTTCTTTTTTTCCTGGCACCTATTAAAAGGTATTTAACGAACTATTTTTGAATAGTCTCATTTCATGTCCCAATACATGTTACCCACAGAACAACTTACCCATTTTTGTTTAACATTTTACTCGCATTGGCAGGACCATCAACATGATGCCTGATGAGTTGTAATATTTTAAATGTGTAAAATCAAGCCAAAATTGCATCATAATTTTGTCAAATGTTGAAAGTTTGGCTTTAACATTGCTATTTAGCTAAACAGAAACCAGCTTTTTTTTTACACTATCAATTCAATTTCTAACAATATGGAACTTCGATAGCACAGAAAACAGATATCTGAAATGATGAAAATCAAAGCACTATTTTGGATGAAAAATTAAAAATTTCTAAGTTGTTGATGTTTTGTTGTAAATGCTTTTAAAGGTTCAAACCTCATACTGTGTCAAATTCAATGAAAAGCTGTAACTTGTTCAACAGCTTTTTGTTAAAACTTGAATTCCCCAAGAACAAAGTTCCACCAGGTTAAACTCTTACCATTTGCTGTTGACTTTATTGACTCTAAAGGGCATTTTAAAGATTTTGATAGAGGTGAATCTACTCATTAAACTTGTCTTTCCAGGTGGTAGCTTACCATTACTGCCAAGCTGACAATGCCTACACCTGCCTAGTCCCAGAGTTTGTACATAATGTGGCAGCTCTACTCTGTCGATCACCCCAACTGGTTGCGTATAGGGAGCAGCTCCTTCGAGAACCACATTTGCAGAGTATGCTCAGCTTGCGCTCCTGTGTTCAAGACCCCATGGCATCTTTTAGAAGAGGAGTTCTCGAACCACTTGACAACTTGCGCAAAGGTAGGTCAAATTTTGTCGAGTAGGTGTTGAGCTCTAGGAATTAGTTGTTAGGTGTTGCCTAGACACTGTACTTTGGAGCACTTTTAGACTGGTAGGATTGTGATTCATTTGGAAATCCCTGACCTCAGAATTGTTTGTGTCAGGTGAAATAGTATTGGTGGAAGTTAGACAGCATTCTACAATGGAACACTGTCCTGTGATTTCTGGGTGACTGAGAGCAAGCTTGCTGTAGCAGAGCAAGTATGTGGTCCAGACAGAGACCCTAAGAAGAAAAATAGTGTAAAGAGAATAACGTACAATTCTGTAGGATAAGTGCAGGTAGTACACTGATGTGTACTGTTATTTTTCTGGGACGCAAATCTGAATCCAGACTTGTTATATTGCAAGTTTCTTCATTCTGCTTGACCTGGACTAAATTAAGATATATGGTGCCTGTCTCAATTTAGTAAATGCAGTTAAATTTATAACTCTTCACGATTTGATAGCCTACAATATACTCATAACTTTCAGTGACAGGTAGGAGAATGGATAAACCACTATTTTATTCTGGGAGAATATTCTAAGGTGCTGTATTTAAGCTTATCGTTGGGATCAGTAGACAACTGCAGTTTATGTCCTACTCCATTTCAGCTGCAGAAATGACAAATGTTATCTCCCTTTGTAGTAATGTCACCTTGATCGTGTAATTCATCCGTTTAAAAACAAATTTGGATGAATTCAATGGCATGATTTCCACTTAAATTGTGACATTTTTACACACTTTTTCACTTACAATAATTAAGTGGACTGTGTACCAAAGAAGTCAATTTAATTGACCCCCAACCATAAACCTCAGATGAACCAGGAAGTCCATTCCCCACTGAAGACCAGACATGCAGCATTTAAGTCAGATGGCTGAGACCAATACAAGAAATCTAGATATGACCTCCATAGAGCTATCAGGGATGCCAAGAGGCAGTTCCGGACCAAGTTAGAGGCCCAGACCTACCAAACAAACTCCCACCAACTATGGCAAGACATTATGGGATACAAAATGAAGCACAGCAAGATAGTGGACAAAGGCACATCCCTCTCTGATGTGCTGAATGTTTTCTGTGCTGGCACATCTGGGCAACAAAGACACCTAAGTCCTGTTCATTGATTACAGCTCCCCCTTCAACCCCATTATCCCCTCCAGACTAATCTCAAAACTGCACGACCTTGGTCTCGGCTCAACCCTCTGTAACTGGATCCTCCGCTTTCTGACCCACAGACTGCAATCAATGAAGATAGGTAACTGCACCTCCTCCACAATAATACTCAACATTGGTGCCCCCCCCAAGGATATGTCTTCAGCCCTCTACTGTACTCCCTGTACACTCACAACTGTGTTGCCAAATTCCGAATAAACGCTATCTTCAAGCTCGCTGATGACCCCACCATAGTGGGTCGGATATCTAACAATGATGAGTCAAAATACAGAAGGGAGATAAAGGGCTTGGTGACATGGTGCAATGAAAACAACCTCTGTCTCAATGTGGGCCAAACTAAAGAACTGATCATTGACTTCAGAAAGAAAGGAGGACTATATGCCCCCATCTACATCAATGTAACTGAGGTTGAGAGGATGGAGAGTGTCAAATTCCTTGGAGTGATGATAACCGACAATTTGTGCTGGACTTGCCACATGGATGCGACAGTCAAGAAGGCATAATAATGCCTCCTCTTCCTCAGGTGGCTCAGGAAATTTGGCCCATCCATGAGGACCCTCATCAACTTCTACAGATGCAGCATTGAAAGCATACTGTCCGGGTGCATAATGGTCTGGTATGGCAACTGCGCCGCCCAGCACTGTAAGAAACTACAGAAGGTGATGTGCACAGCCTAAACCATCTCGGAAGGGAGAATCTTCCATCCATGGACTCCATTTACGTGGCTCACTGCCACTGAAAGGTTGCCAACATCATCAGTCACTCATTGCACCCCAGTAATGATCTTCTGCAACCTCTTCCATCAGACAGAAGCCTGAACACGCACTAGCTTCTGTTATTAGAATCATATTAGAATTCGGTTATTAGATTCCGTTATTAGAATCATAGAATTCCTACAGTCTGGAAACAGGCCGTTCAGCCCAACATGTCTGCACCGACCCTTGGAGCATGCCAGTCAGACCCATACTCCTATAACCCACCTAATCTACACATCCCTGAACACTCGGGGAAATTTAGCATGGCCAATCCACCTAACCTGCACATCTTTGGACTGTGGGAGGAAACCGGAGTACCCAGAGGAAACCCACACAGATACGGGGAGAATGTGCAAACTCCACACAGACTGTCGTCCAAGGGTGGAATTGAACCCGGGTCCCTGGCACTGTGATGCAGCAGTGCTAACCTCTGAGCCACCGTGCCACCCCTAAATTCGCGGCTTAAATTTCTGTCGTTTTTGTGGAAGTATTTTTCCTCCTTCCCGAACCTTTCTACTTTTGAGGTCCTTGCTTCCTGGAGTACTTCTCTCTACCATGTTTGTGAAACCTATTCCATATTTTTCTGGTAAAGAAGCATTATCCAGATGATTTAAAGGCTTATCAGTAAGACCAGACAAAAACAAGCATTTCCAAAAATGATTTCCTGGTCCGGGGTAATGATGAATGGACTCTCGAGCCTCAAATAATGCTGATCTTGCTAACGTTGATCTGGCCTACTGCACACCCTGTGCAATGTAACCTGTATGCCTGTGTCTAAGGTTTTATGATGTACATCCTTGCTTACTATGATCTGTCTGTACTGCTCGTAAACAAGCTTTCCACTGTACTTTGGTACACCTGACAATAAATCAATCAATCAATCAATCACTTTGAGCACTTCATACCGTGAAATATAATTAAAAATCAAACAAATATGGTCATAACCTCCAGTGCCTCTAATGGCAAAGCATTTGTAAATATATATCTTAGCTTGCTGACAGAAACCCCTGATAACAGCCAATTTACTATTTTATCCAGATAGTAAGCATTGAAACGTATTATGATTTCCCCTTTGTCTTTGAAAAAGATCAGACAGCTACAGAACTAATACTTGCTTTCACTCCCTTTTAAACCAAAGATATCTGTTGCCTATTCTTTAAAGGAACTTTGTCAGAAAGTTGCATCCTAGAAGTTGAGAAAGTATAGCAACAATGCATGATCTCCAGTATAACTAGTTAACTTCTTTGCCTTGTGCGTAAAATTGATATAAAAACTGATAAAGCAAATATAGTATTCTTCAAAACTTGCACCTGTGGTCTATAAATTATCTTGCTGGTCAGTGTTGTAGCTGTCTCCCTCAAACTGCTCTTTTTTTTTTTTGGAAAAGAAGTTTGTCTCCTGGATTTTGTATGGTTCAATGTTATGCTGCTTGAGAATGGTACTGTTCTGTGACACATTCTATATTCTGAAATGTCTTTGAGATTTTTCCAGTCTTGAAAACTTCTGCAAAGTGATGATGTAATTACATAGTGTTCACTGGTGAAGGAAGATGAAATGAATATCAAGCCAAGAAAGTTGGGGGAGCAAGGGTCATGAAACACCATGGGAGTTGCTAACATTTAAGCCAGGTTTCTATCCTGTGCACCTGAGCATCCTATATTCCCAAACGTCAAATGTCGTTCCAACAATGAAGCACTGCAGGCTGCTTTTCTCCAGGAAATGTGTCCCTCAATGAACAGATATTTAAATAGAAAATCAATTATTTTTTGTTAGAATAAGATGTTTACTGAATCCATTGTGTGATGGAGGCCTATGGACTCGTTAAGTGGTACTACGTCAGCGATCCTCCCTGAGAATGTTATGTAAATTTCATGTTTTTTTTTATTCTCTTTGTAAGTAACGGTTTCCCACAGTAATAAAGTATTTAGAGTATTTTTGTACTTTCAAGCAATAAGAGCCAGATGTGGTTGGATGTAGTACAGTGCTTTACATTGTATTATGGACAGATTTTGAACTTGTGCTAATTCCATGGACAGCACACACTAATCCATGGAATATCATATTGATACTGAATTCCATGGAGATAACCAATCAGTGTCAGCTGTTATATCCCAGAATTCCACTGTAGGGTAGTTTACAAATTTCAGTATCTGAGTCAGCTTCCAGATGTCAGCATTACAGACAGATTTAAGCCTCCTAGATGAAATATGTGGTTTAATAATTCAGTCATCTATCTCATTCTTGGCCTGTTCATCACCTGCCTAGCAGTTGTATATAACTTGAAGTTTCACCATTTTGTTACATTTCTTGAATTAAATCAAAGCTAATTTTAATGTATGCTTCGTAACAAAAATATGTATTTTGTGTTTTATGACAATTTTGTAGATGAAAACCCACTGTTATTCTGATAGTTACAGATTTTATTTTCCTTACAGAGCGAAAGATTGCAGATGAAGACTATATCCTCTTAATTGATGGCCTGAATGAAGCAGAGTTCCACAAACCAGATTATGGGGACACAATTGTGTCCTTCCTCACTAAAATGATTGGAAAATTTCCATCGTGGCTGAAATTAATAGTGACAGTTCGAACAACACTTCAGGTATGGTCATGTGGCAGAAAGAGGCAAAACTTATGAATGATCATTAAAGGCTGTTAAGATCGGTTTTGATTTCCTGAGGTGCTAAGTGTGCGTGTTGAGTTTGGACTGAGATGACTGTTTAAATTCTAGTTACCATTCTAGTTATTTATAAATTATTATAAATAATAAATTTATTATAAATTCTAGTTATCATAGTCTTACCAGACCGTAGGGCTGCTCTCTCATTAGAAACAACTCGTGGTGGTTTAACCTGAGGGTCACCACACCTCAGGTAAGGGGAGAGAATATGGTAACCTCAGCCAGTGTGGGAGGTGAACCCATGCCATTGGCATCGCTTTGCATTGCGAATCAGCTATCCAGCCAACTGAGATAACTGACACCCATTTACCTGTGCAACCAGGGGCTTGTACTTTTCAACATGACATGACCCAAAAGCAAGGAGTACAGTTATCTTGTGTATGTGTGCTTACAAATTTGATAATAGTTCTTTATTGTTGATAGAACTTCATACTGACAATGTCCTGGCCTTGGAGCACATTGTGTTGACAAAAGCATGGAAAGGGCAAATGTCCTTTAAGAAGCTTTGGAATATTAGAATTATCCCAATGTGATAAGCTGTGCACTTGCATGGTACCCAAGGCTTCACCCTCCCCTGGACTGTCAAATTGTTTCCCACCCTTAAAAAATTATTTGCTTGTAAACAAACACACCACCTGCTTCATCGTGAAGTCTGCCTTATTCCAATTATGTGTAGCATGTATCATTGTTTAATGTTAAGAATGTATGTTGGATGGGGGACTGGTTTGACCTCATCAAAGGTCTAAATTCACAGAATATGGGGTCTAGTCCACTGCCAAAGCCTAACATAAAGACACATGTCAAGAGCAGATGTAGGCCATTTAGCCCTTAAAGCCTGCCTCACCATTCAGTAACATCGTGGGTGATCCTCTATCTTAGTGCTATATTCTGGCTTTCTCCCCATATCCCTTGATGTCTTTAAAATCTAAAAATACATCTATAAGATCTTTAGTTGGAGCATTACAATTTGTTGGAGTCCCTGGGTGGAGAGGGTAAAATCAACCATATTCCACTGCAAGTGTAGTCATGTGGTGAAGATGGGAGCAGACCCCTTTATGATGCGGGAGTCAATAAATGTGGAGCTGGAAAAGCACAGTGGGTCGGACAGCATCCGAGGAGCAGGCAAGTCAACATTTCAGGCTGAAATTCCTCCCTGCTCCTCAGATGCTGTCTGACCCACTGTGCTTTTACAGCTGCACATTTATTGACACTAGCTTCTAGCATCTGCAATCCTTCCTTTCCCCTTTGTGATGCTCTGTGTTTGAATAGCCTTTTGACCTTCAGTAACCAGTCTCTCCCCTGATGATAAGATAATTGGCTAAAATTGGAAGGGCCTTTGGTGCCTGTTAACTGTAAAACAGAAAAGTCAAACACCTTCAGATGAAGAAAGGGAAGGGAGGAATAAGGAGAGAAAAAAAAAAACAAGTGAAGTTCATCAGATGACCTGCAGAGTATTGCATTAGATTGACATATTAGAAAGGTTCAGAGCAATATGACAAAGAGGAGACAGAGGGCGGTGACATATATTTAGCTAATGTGATAGAAATGAAAATCAAGTGGAAGATAATACTTTTTAAAACCCATTGCATTTTCATTAATGACAAGATAATATTTGTTGCCAATCCCTTATTGCTCTTGAAAAGGCTTGTTAAACCATTTCAGAGAGCAGTTAAGGGTCAGCCGTATTGTGTGGATCACATATCAGCCAGGCTGCAATAGGGCATCTTATTCCCTTCTTTAAAGAATACCTAGTGAAGCAAATGGGCTTTTACAATAATCTGGTAGTTTAATTTCCACCATTACTGATATTATATTTTTATTCACATTTGTTAATTAGTTGAATTTAAATTCCCCAGTTACAGTGGTGGGATTTGAACTCATTTCTCCAGATTGCTAGTCTTGGAGTCTAGATTATTAATCCAGTAATATTACCAATCCATCACTGTCCTCCTGATAAAATTCCATAAATAAAGAATTACTAGCAGCAATTTCTCCTTGGAAAACCAGTTATATTGCATCCTGATTGATTGTTGTGTCTAGACATCCTATCAAACAGGTTGATGGGAGTGATTTCACAATAACTATATGTCACCACACACAGCTTTTTGCATGTTGACGAGATATAGTCTGTTAAGTAGACTGGAACGGTAGACAGCTTGGTACATGAAATGTCATATGGACTGCAGAAGATGATTTACTTTACAGTAGTCAGCAATAAAATAACAAATTGAAAATTTTGAGTTTTATCTACTGCAGTGTAACATATATTGCTGATACCTTGCACACTTGAATTTACCCAAAATATTTGAGTTTTGCTTTGGACTTGCATTTAAATTGGAATCTTTTTCCCTTATATTTGTGGACTTGTAGTGAGAAATGAACTGTTAGTGAGCTATTACTGACCTTTTTAGTCATTGTCTGTTGATGTCTCTGTCATGATTCAAGCAGTTTATCTACTGTAGCAATAAATCTTTAAGCTTTATACTGTTGCTGTGATCACATTGTCACCAGACTGTGTGTGTTTAATCGAAAAACAATGTTTTTCACAGGAGGTGGCCAAACTTCTTCCATTTCACAAGATATATCTGGACAAACTGGATGTGAACGAGGCAATAGACCAGGACCTACAGGCCTATATCCTTCACCGAATCCACAGTAGCCCTGAAATCCAGAATAACATCTCCCTTAATGGTAAAATGGACAACACAACCTTTGGCAAACTCAGTACTCATCTTAAGGCTTTGAGCCAAGGGTCATATCTCTACCTAAAACTGACTTTTGACTTGATTGAGAAAGGTTACTTGGTGCTTAAGAGTTCAAGCTATAAAGTAGTACCTGTTTCCCTCGCTGAGGTCTACCTCTTACAGTGCAACATGAAATTCCCAACACAATCCTCATTTGAACGGGTTCTACCACTGTTGAATGTGGCTGTTGCATCCTTGCATCCTATGACAGATGATCAGCTTTATCAGGCAATCAATGCAGGAAATATTGATGGTAACCTTGAGTGGGAGGATTTCCAACAGCGGATGGACAATCTTTCCATGTTTCTGATAAAACGTCGGGATATGACACGGATGTTTGTTCATCCATCCTTTCGAGAATGGCTGATATGGAGAGAAGATGGAGAGAAGACCAAGTTTCTTTGTGATCCCAGGTAAGAAATTGCAACCAATGTCTCTTTTATGAGAAACCTGGACAAAGGAATGTGGAAAACTTTGCTTGTTCATTTCTTTATCAATTGGACAATATTTAAAAACCTGACAAACCTACACAGGTTATCATTTTGCATCTATCATGTAAACAAGTTGTAACATGATGTCACTTGTCTCATTCTGACTGTGGTAAAACCATCTTGCAACATGATAAAAATCAAGAATAGAATAAGGTAATTTTTTTTATTAAAGCTCATCTGAGTCGATCAGCTTTTACTACATTGGTTTTCAGACAATCCTTTTTGAAACTGTGTTGAGTTAATTTTCTCGTGCTATAGCATTTGAATCATTTGACAACGTAAAATCAAATCCTCTACATCAGGTTCCGTTTCGGTGGTTGCATTGAAGAGCTCATTTTATCCATTTTTCTAACCCACAGTCAAATATGCACTCGCGTAAAGAGTTAATTCTATGATTTCAATGCATTCAAAGGCATTCTTGATATTCTTCCACAATCTGTTCATTTTAGATATAGTACAGTCATGATACATTGCAGCTCTTGGCATGACTGAGTTGGATTATTGGATTCCATTTATTATTAACAAATATGAATGCATATAGCTATGGCCTAAATTCCGGATGAATCCGCATGTAATATCTGCGGGAGGTGGGTGTTCCCTGATGCAACGGTCAGATTATCTCTATCAATTCAAGGTGCAAAAACTAATGTAACTAAGATAATTGGAAAGATGTTGTTTAACCATTGGTTTGTGCCCATTGAGAATTTTACTGATTTCAACTTGGGTCACACTGACAGTATACACAAAATTAAGAACCATGAGAAACGAATAACTTTTGAAGTAATTGGAAATGTGCCCGTCTGTTGATCTCCAAACCACATGTTCAGCCTGGTTGTAAGTAATAGTGCATTACCAGTCAGCTTCAGTCTACTTTCTCAGAATGTAATAAGCACCAAGAATCACTTCAGTACACAGCTATCTTCTTTCATGACAGTTTCAGTTCTATTCCTTCATTTCCACCTTTTTGTACTTTCAATCAAAGTATTGCATTTGTTATCCTTTTCACTCCTAACTTTCTAATATTTGCACTTGTCCCTGACCTGTGAACTCTATATCCTAGTAAGCAATTTTCCTGATCAACTTTGCCATTTTTGATTTACGTTATCCATTATTAATATTCATACATCTTTTGCATTATCTTATTATACTGGGTGCTGTCATCATCCTCGCCCTGCTGAGAAATCTGTAGCTCATTCCTGTAATTAATCCTGCCCAATAGTTGCTTCTTAACTCGAGGCTGAATTTGTTTTAGGTTGTCCGTGTATAAAATGAAATCAAGTTCCTTAACTCTCAAATTATCTTATGCATATTAGGTACCCACTTTACTCACTATTCTTGTGGAATTCATTTCCATCATCAAGATGCACCATGCTTCTGAAATCCCAAGACCATGGTTTCCCTGAAAAGTGGGATGCCTCAGAGAAAGATTAGAAACTATTTTTGGATGTTATGTATATCTCTTTCTTCAAGGTACATAGCAATCCTCTTGCTTGAACATTAACTTCAGAGACTTTATATTTTAATTGTATCCACATTTTTAAATAGGTTTAATTCTCTACTTCTACCCAGATCTTCCATTCTTCACATTTTCGCTTTTCCTAGGATTCTCATTTCCTCAGCCATTTACTCTTACTTTGTCTCTTCAATGTCTCTGACTATGTTATTTAGGTGATCTGTTCATTCATTGCACTCATGAATCTTTGAGTTCTCATTTTTATTTCACGTATAGATGTTCTTCCTAATTTTAAAAAACATTGAGAAGATGCCATTTGTCAGATATTTTCAAACTTAACGAAGTTTCATACCCAGAAGGTTGACTTATCTCATGTTTCTACAGGTACTGACTGATACCATAAGACCGTAAGAAATATGAACAAGAATAGAAAGTTCGGCCTCTCAAGCCTGCTTCATTATTCAGTAGGATCATGGCCGATCCAACATTCATCACGTCCACTTTCCCGCCTCTTCCGTGTAAATCTTAATTCCACTGTTGATCGTCTATCCATCTATCTCAGCCTTGAATATACACGAGGACTCTGCCCCCATAGCTCTCTGTGGCAAGGAGTTCCAAAGACACTCAACAAACTGCTAGAAGAAATTTCTCCTCATCTCAGTTTTAAACTAGCACCCCTTCATTCTGAGACTATGCCTTCTGGTCCTAGACTCTTCCCATAAGGGGAAACATCCTCCCAGCATTTGCCATGTCAAGCCTCTTAAGAACCTTAAGAATATGTTTCAATGCAATCACCTGTCTTTCTTCTAAACTCCAATTAGTGCCAAGATGATAAAGACACTCCCCAGGGCAATTACTTGTTCACGTTAGGAGACATTCTGATGCTATGAATTGCATTAATTTAACAACAAAATGAGGCCAGTGTCTGTGATACATAATCTATTGGTGATTAATACTGCTTTTCTATTCTCTACATGTTGTTGCAGTTTAACCTCAGCTCTGAAAGTCACAAAAATATGACAAGCCCAGAAAGTGAATGCAGCTAACTTGAGATGTTTGGTCAAAAACAAAAGTTGCTGGAAAAGCTCAGCAAGTCTGGCAGCGTCTGTGAAGAAAGAAGTCAGAGTTAACGTTTCAGGCCCGGTGACCTTTCCTCGGAGACCTTCTGAGGAAGGGTCATCGGACCCAAAATGTTAGCTCTGATTTTTTTCTTCACTGATCCTGCCAGACCTGCTGAGCTTTTCCAGCAACTTCTGTTTTTGTTCCTGATTTACAGCATCCACCGTTCTTTCCGTTTTTATTTTGTTGGATCAAAATCCTTACACAGGACTGCAATGATTTAAGAAGGCTGCTTATTACCATCTTCTTAAATGCAGTTAAGAGTGGGTAATATTGCCAGCAATGCTCAAATCCCATTATAGCATTTTGAAACATTCCTTATTTTACCAAGTGTACATGTACGTATTCTCCAGAGGTATAAGTTAATACTTGCCAATGTTAATACAAAGTTTTTGACATAATGTATATCTACAAACTTTTACATTTCTTTAGCACCTTTTGGAGTCTCTTTTGAAGTTCACTTGGAGGTCTGTCCTACAGAGAAATGCTTCATGCTTTTTGAATATAATTTATGGAAATGAGTCTGGGGATTCTCTCCATTGAGCTTGTGCATACTAAGTATGGATAATGAGATAAAGAAGTGAGTCTCTTGTTAAAACCAATAAGTTTGACTGCTGTCAGAAGTATGAACACTTTGCTTAGAAGCTGCAAACTGTTCGCAGTACTCCATGGGTGGTCTCCTTGAAGCACTGTACAATTTTGAACTCGCTTAATGTTGTATTCCACACCCCTTGCAGTAAAAGCCAACACGCTATTGCCCTCTGAATTGCATTCTATGCCTCCATGCTAACTTTGTGTTCCCCGTGCAGATGATCTGAGAGCTAAACTCCAGAGTGGACGGGTAGGGCCAGTGCACGACAGTTGCAGAGAATGCATTTGTTGACTTTAGTTAGGGCCATTTTGGTTGCAGTAGCGGGTTTTAGAAATTTGATTGAAGAGATAAAAACGTGGAGTTGCTGGTAAAATGGGCAGAAATTTGAGATGTGGCAGCCTATTTTAGAGACTTCTTATATGGACGGTAATCAAAATATAGGAGCAGAAGCCTGCTCCACCATTCAGTGCAATCATTGCTAATCTTTGATCACAACCTCCCTGATCACCACGGCCTTTTTTCTCTGATTCCAAAAATCTAATGATTTCAGCCTTGAGGACACTCGACAATTGAGCATGCACAATTCTAAAGTGAATTGCAAAAATTTACAATCTTCTCCAGCTAAATTTTAGCTTCTCCAGGAGAAACAGCCTTTCAGCATTTACCTTGTGAAGTCCACTCAGAATCTCATTGGCTTCAATGGCATCACATTTTATCCTTCTGAACAGCAGGTATCAGCATATTCAACTCTATTTCTTCTACTACGCATGCGCTTTCATCACACTATTAATGTTATGAATCTATGAGACCCTCTTCTTGCCAAGTATCTCCTTTTTTCAATGTGAAACCAAAATGTCAAAGCACTTCAGGCGTGGTCTCCTTGAGGCCCAGTACAATTGCAGTAAGACTCCCTTACTCTCATGTATCCTTTACTCTCTCTATATCATGTATAGCTTCCAGATTGCTTGCTGTACCTGCAAGATACCTTTCCAGACATGAGTGCAGAGGCAACCAATTCCCTCTGAACACTAACATCCAATAACGTGTATCACTATTGAAAACATGATGAACTGGATTTTCTAAGAAGTGGCAATCTCGGACAATTCTGATAATTGCCCTCAGAAATATGGAGCTATGCTTCCATTCTAGCAGTTCTTTCATAATGCAAACTGTCAGAAGAAGCCAACCTACAACCCTTTTTTAAAGCAGTCACCTGCCATATTCTGAATCGTAAAGGTCCTGACAGCTACTTTGAGAAGTGCAAATAGTAAGTATATAAACTGTGTGCAGGAATATATGCAGGAGAAGGGAATACAGGCTTAGGATGATGGATTTAGATGAGAAGAGATAAAATATTTGTTACACATCTGTCATTTCCTTCATCCTTATTATAACTTCTGCTAACTCAGCCTGTAAAGAACCCACATTTACTTTGACTGTTCTTTCCCTTATTCTTTGAAGTCCTTCCAATTTATTTTTTGGTTTTTTGTTGCTTGTGAATATTTTATGTTCCATCTTATAGTTCTTTGTCAACTTTCCTTTTCAATGAGTTAATCATTTCACCTTGGAATTAGGACTTCACCTAGTTTTTAATGATGCATTTCAGCAAAAGCCAGATCGCTGTTTTCCAGTGAAACTCCAGAAATATTGTCATTCTGTTTCCACAAGATTTGTATCAGAAAGTATAGAATTGAAAACACTTATGAGGAGGACAGAAGTTCTGGGTATGCATTGCCCTCTAGGGATGGAATTTCTTGT